GTGAAGGTGCGATCTGTACTCTACTGTAAGGTTGTTGGCTGAACGGATGAGCCGGTGGTCAGCAACAATGGGTGCCTGGAAACTCTACTCCTCAGTATGTACCACTTGAACTGGCGTAGATTTTGCGCTGGACCTCCGCGGGCGTTCGTTATGGCGAAGTTCGTTCAAAGTACCTCTTTCTGAACCTAATGCAGGCCATCCAGAAGACAGCGCAGGTTCAGCGCAGGTTCAGCGCAAGTTGGTCAGCGCGTCCAGGTGTTTAGAATCGGAGACGTCATATACTTGAAGCACGGGCGTGGTTTCTATTAATCACTCAGTCTGTGATAATGAGATTAGTTAATCCCACCCACGGCGCGACATGCGGTTGGGAGAGATAAGTATGAGTCCATTTATGATGTTATTTAGCAGGAATTGAAAGGTCTTCTATCAGCTCCATGACATTTGCTTCACGCAATGGAAGATGCAGCGTGTTCCCTTAAACTTGGAGCTTCAGCGATGGCGATCATAGTAATCTGTCCCTATTACGGAGAACGAAGGGAACCGTGGAGATCAGAGAGTCAATTTGAGGAGCGCGTTTGCGGTTTTCTAGATTTATAGTCAGAAACCACGCGTCGATGTGCGGTATAGATATGTATGGAAAGGTGGTCTTTCGTAAGGCATTCTAAGGGCCATTGTCTAACTCGGCGCATAGTAAACTGAACTATGAATTTAAAATTAAGTGAGACTATTGAAGTCTAGACAAAGTGAAGTATGGTTAGTTATGTGCTCATAGACGTCGCCCGTCAGGTCTACGGAGCGTCGATAGGGCCGATAGACATTAAACGATGTCCATGGCCGTCACACATTCATTTTGGGGACCCAACAAACAAAAGACGAATACAGGCGTTTGTTCACTGACAATACGAGGCTCCAGGAAGGATCCGGGGACGTTTTCTTTCAATATTCCTTTCTAAGATAGCCCCGCCCAAACGACGCGAGAAAATACATGTTATTTTGATGTGCAGCGAAGCGCACCTCGGTACCTCGTCCGACGCTGTCCAGTCCACACGTTAGGAGAGGGTATCTTCCGTCGCTATCACATTCCGTTATCGCGCGCCCTTGGGAGGTATTCCTCGAGCACAGCGTGCGGTAGGTATAATCTGGCAGGCTCACTTATCGCTGTCCTTGATATAGATTTAGACCTGCGATCTTGAAATGATGGGAGTGATCTTGAATCTCATAGAAGGCTGCCGGATAACGCCGAGTTCTGCCGAGCATGATGGCACCCACGTGGAGATAAAACATGCGTTCCCCCGAATACGTGCCATAAGATTCTGCTTTCTCCCAAGGATATTTCATACTTCGGCGTCCAAAGGGAAAGCATATAAGTAAGTTTGACCTCATATCATGATCTCTTCTGATAGTGAAAGAGTGTGTGCCAGTAGCGCGTCGTTTTGTTAGTGCAAGTGGTTAGTGCGTCCGCGGAGATTATTCCACCCCCCTCTTTGAATCAGCTTTATATAAATCTACGGAGGAGGCGTGAGCACCATTTCCGTCTGTTGTAATCGAATTTCTGTGTTGCATGCATTGCCATAGAACAGCAGAACTTCCAACTTCGATGAACTAACGTCCAATTCAAGTAACGAAGCACGATGAGGTGCGTAATTATATGGGATAGATTATGGAATCCTCGTATCTTTTAGACGCAATAATAGGTGCTATAGATACCGATCAGAGATTATATATAAATTTGGTAAGTGTTGCAGAGTCCAGAGAAAAATGTTTCTGAGCCTATAGAACAGAACCTGCGATTTGTGCAATGGGATATATCTTCTCTCTCTCCGCAGCTTTCGTTTCCACGGCTATGATAATCTTCAAACAGGCATTGTTCATTATGTTAAGCGCTCCGCCAAGTCTCGTGTGGACGTCGGCGGTTTTAGTGATATTGTCGAGCAAAGACGCATCTTCGTCATAACGCAGGCGATCCGAAAATAGAACTTACGTTGCCTATTTGTGAAGTCAAGGCGCAGAAAGACTCAATTGGAAAAGAAAGGCTAGTGTAATACGACCCAGCCACGTTCGCGTACATGTTCAATTTAGAAAGGGGACTGGACTTTCGAAAGAAAGCTTACATCCCGTCCGAATGATGTGCAGTGCAACGCAAGTCCGCTGAGTCATTCCAAGGAAATTGGATAAGAGCAGATGCCAATGCCCGAGAGAAGCGAGGTTTCCTCGAAGCAGTATCCCAGCCGCGGTCTTTTTATCGCCGTCAAACCTAAGTTTTAACTACCTTTCCACGTTATATATTCGGAAGTGCCACGCAACGCACCGTTTCTGATGACAAGCCCACGATACTTGTCTGTTGTGGACTCGGATTCCCAAGACCTCCTATCAAGGAGATCAGATGAGCATGTTGCCTCGTCGTTCCGTCCCGCCAAGTGCCATGGCAGAGAGTGAAGAAGAGTGGATTTCGGTGTCGTATTTTTGGCTCGCGAGCTTATTTGGCGAGTTTATCCCACCATCGTAACCCTATGATCATATCCCAGTGCTATCTCGGAGCATCCATTTACCTCGATAATGTCCGTTTAATTACTTGGTGTGGGCTCGGTCAGCAGGGATCGACTTAATAGTTCGCAAAAACGTTTGCTTGGTTTGAGTCGCGATTTTGTTCAACTTGGGGACTATCGTAAATATCGCATAGCGGGAATTTAGTGTTTCGATATGGCGGGAAAGTCACTGTATTTTTCGGAAGCGACGTGGATTCAGCGCACATCGAGGTGTATCCTCGCACATAAAACCACCGTGGTCTCACGTGGAGGAGATTAACCAGCGATCCCCTGCGTGAAAGCTTCACATAAGGCTTCTTCGATTGAGATACCATCATTTAAAAACGTAGAACCCGGCTTGTAGTACTACCAGCACTATTTATGACGCAAATTCTACTGATGTATTAGGAATCGTTGGCGGAAATGGAATCAGAGTCTCAGCGCTCTGACTAACCAGCTGCGCACACAAGGCTGTCCGAGAGCGTAGGACGGTGGAACGCACTCCAACACTGTGGTAGCAAATTATAACTAGACGTGTCCCGGCTATTTGGGCAGTTAAGTTGTTGAAGAATGAAGCTTTCCTTCGTAAATGTCGCTGAGTGGCGAGAGGGCTCAAGCGCAGCAGTTTTGCTTCTCAAGAAGGCAAATATTTCCGATCTTCTAGTGTTCAAAGAACTATGATCGTTCAATTTTACGGATAATCAATCGTGTAAATATTTTTTTTGTGCTAAAGCGACGCGAGTTCTTAAAGGGGTATACAGGGTGTAAATCTGTCCATATAATAAACTTCAATAGAACAACTCAGAGATTATTCAAAGTGTTTTGTACGGTACAGGATAGAAGAACACAAACTTAAGGTAGTCGTTCCGGGTATGCTATTGTAAATCAATATGGAGACGAGCAGGGACATCTTTTTTTCTAAAGATTACCTACTCGTGTTCATCATAATTTGCTCTTCTCAATTCTTCAGCCCTTCTGCAAACAGCGATCGGCGGCGTCGATTAACGAGAGTCGTCTGAGTCGGCTCCTTGTAGATATCTAAATGAATTTTTTTTTTGAGAAAGGTAAACGCTTTCGATTCTCATGATACTCAAAAACCAGCGGCTTACATTCACATAGGTCTATGATGAATCCCTCGCTGCGCTTTCGCAGGCGAAGCTCATGGCGAGTAGGGATCAATCGGTCATGTGATGTTGCGCTACTAATAGTAATTGCGTCGTCTGACGCCTTTATTTCGGTGGACTGCCCAATACTGGCATGCCCATTGATGTTATGTCCATCACTTCTTCGCTCTCCACAAGTCGATGGGAAGTGGGCTGACTCTCTGGACTGCCTACTTTATCTCTACGGATAGTTCGGTAGAGCTCAATTACGACAACCCAAATTGAAGCTTTGTGCCTATGAGTTCTTACCCTGGGACAGCGAACGCACTGGTCGAACCTCGAATTGAGAGCGGAGATACGCCTCCGGTGACTACTCTCACCGAGAACTCGCAGTTGCTGCTGAGAGGATTAACAGGCAGAAGGTACGCTGGCTAGTTCACTGTATTTACACTGGATCTGAGGTTGAAGGACGAAGCCGAAGTAAATCGAAAGCAGTCGCCACATATACCGTCCCAGAACCATCTGAATCCAACTATTTGAACTTCCATGCGCCTTCTCCATCCCCATCTATGCGGGAACGTACCCGAACGCGCGATACGGACGATGACTCAGACATCTCGCGGAATACGAAGGTGGTCAGTTTAACGCTCGTCAATTCGGGCAGCGTGGCGCGCGATCATCTAGCGTCTGAAAGGACATATCTGGCGTACGTTCGGACGAGTCTCGCGCTCTCCTCAGTTGGTGTTGGTAAGTATTCTTCACATTCTGTTCGTTCGTGGTATCGGCGCTTCTCACCTCGCCTTGATCGCCTTACACAGCTCTCATGCAATTCCTAAAGCTCAGTCCTTCTACACATGCCTTCGCGATTCCTATTTCTGCAACCATGATTGTGACTGGTGTACTAGTCCTTCTTTTTGGTGAGCCGTGATGTACTTTGAGGATGCACTTTCGCCCGGCTTACCGTGACGCTCGTTTGCAGGAGCACAAAGGTTCTTCCTCGTTCAACGGACTCTCGTTGAAGGCTACTTCCCCGTCTCTGTACTTGAAGCTGCTGTTATCACCTTCATATTGGGCTCCGTCATCGTTGTAGCGTTCGGTGCGATACTGGTTGGCGGGAGTTAACGGTTTGCCTTGGACATTTAGACCAGTTTTTTGTTATATAAGATTATACTCATACTTTCTGTAGGTTATATACCCTTGTCTTAGAATTGTCACCACAAAACTTGAATCGTTTACCTCTTTTTCGAATTACAATATGCAAAGTCTTATAGCTCATCGCCTTATAGCTCATTCAAATCGCCCGCTCTAACATTTTCGAAACTGGTTGTGTGCCATGCCGGCACGAGGTCGGCGATCGCGAACAGCAAAATAAGATCCCTTAGTTCAGTGGTAGAATGTATGATTCCAGCCATCTAAGCAGGAGCTTCCATAAGGTCACCCGTTCAATCCGGGTAGGGATCATTTTTCATGTTCATGTACTAGCTTTGGACGTAATTTAAAATTTTGGTCAATAGTCTCAACTTTCAAGAGCGTGCAGGCTGTTGGTCATGGCTATTTTTTAATTGTTCCAAATCAACGCAAAGGGATCAATCAATTTCGACAACACTCTGACCACATTACGTATTACACACACAGCGCACGGAAATATAGATTGGTATCACTTCGCAGTTCTCCGTTGCTCTCGATTTCGAGAATTAATCGATGGATCGAAGTCCACCTTTCATAGGCTCCGCGTTAGTTGTAGACTTGTAGTGGCAACTTCGGTAAAAAGATCAATATGAATTCTCAAGCGTATCTCACGAGATTTTGGCGAACATTCGAGTACCCATTGAGTGGAACAGAGCACGGAAATCCGGCGGTGATTTCGCGACCTAAATTTGCCCAGTGGAGGGGATGGTCGAATGCGACGTCGCGTTCGGCATAAATGGGGTTGTCGAATTCAAAATATAAATTCGACCCTCCATGACTCTTCCTGGGTATGCCGTTTGCCCGAAATTATTACTTAAATGCGGGACTGATGGAGTGATACTTACTCTTTTCAGGTGGAAGGCCGTCTAATAAAGAAAATGTATTTCCTGCATGATTTCCTGTACCCCCGGCTTGCTGAATACATGATTAGTCCCTTAGGCTGGATCTCTATTCGGAATGAGATCATTATATCCGAGTATCCAAGTATGGACGTACCCCCGAGAACTCCATACCGCTTCGATGTTCTGGTTCGGCTAGAGTGAAGGGCATCGACGTTCCTTTGTGGTCTCTTCCGTAAAAAGCCGCCTGAAGGCAGACAAGAAACACTGTTGCTTAGGGGTGTTTGGACTGCTCTGGGCAACTTCGTTACAGACAACTCCACGTATGCGAGGTTTCACAAAGCTAGTCCTTCCAGACAGCCTCGGCGACCTTGACATTAGCTGAAACAGAGTCGAATAAAATAAAGTTACCACGAGTCACTGAACGTGGTCAGGCCCCCAAAGTCGACAGCCACTTCTCGGAAGAACGCGCCTGGTATCAAGGTCTCAAGGCGCAACGCTATTGGTGGACTTTCGTGTTTGTAGTCTCAGATAAGCAGAAAATAAGCGTTCGCCCCGATTTTGGACACCGCGTCACTGTTTCTTACATCACTCACAGCTTTCCCCTTCCCCTCGAGGCTTCCTTACATTTTTTATCAAACCAGCTGCCCATCGGCATCTTCATACAATTCAAATGTGCCCGACGTGCTCAAGAATATGACCTAATAGGGAAGACGTGACATCAGTATGGCAAGGGGCATGCAGGCTTAGTGTCAACCCAGAAAGGGTGGTTATTGGGTACGTGCTCGCTCTTTTTACGTTGGTATTTGGCTTATTTCCCAGCACCCGCCAAAGGAGCTCCGGACTTACTGCAGCAAAATCCACCCATCTTCTCGTTCCACAACCAAAGCAGACCAGAATATATCGCTCTAAACGCTATAACCGACATTCCCGAGATTTGAAAATGGCTAGCCTTTCAGTCACAGCACTCCGGACGATATTCGAGAACATTTGTGCAAATTATCCCTCTGTTCGAGTCCCATTTGAGCGCAGCGATCCACGTCACGTCCTATCTTTAGTGTGCTTGGAATGGAGGACTATCATCTTTTGTGATATGCCGTCCCTATGGGCCAATATCGGTTTTACAGGGGGCCCCGATCCACAGTTCAATCAAGAACCACAATCCCTCCTTCGCCAATTCGCACTCTGCGTAGATCGAAGCGCCCAGCGTCCATTATCCATTTTTCTAGAAATGATTTACGACGGGTGGCAATTCAGCATCGTAGATTCTGTGGTCATTCCCCAGATTCGTCGTATCAAGTCATTAACGACTCCAATTTATAGCGACGCCGAGATATTCAAATTCCTAACAATTCCTCAAGGAGAGTTCCTCATTCTGGAATCCTTAGAACTGTGTCTCATCAACACGTTGGAGCGGCCGGCTTCCTCATTTGCACCACTGCAAAGTCTTCACTTCAGCACGTTACGAAGTATACCACTTCTACGAAGAGCTATGATATACATCCTCAACGGCATGCGGCCAAATGAGCTCAACCTTCCACTATCCCAACTAGTGTCTATATCTCTTGCAGGCGCTACAATTCTACCTTCTGAATTAATTCACATCTTACGCTCAGCTTCGCAGTTGGAGCAGGCATTTTTCTACATTGGTTTTACCATGCCCAGTCACCGACACGAGGCACTCGCAATAGGCGCCGTGGAAATGCGAAAACTGAGAACACTCCGTTTGAGGTTATTGTTTCCGAACCGCGACAAGCGCTTATTTTCCCTCCTTCGCTTTCCAGTTCTCCGGCATCTGTGGATAGATATATACGGTGATTTTCAGCATTGGCACATACCCATTTATACCCGGCTTATAAAGGCGTCTACCAATTCTCTCCGTGAATTGCGCCTCACTGACTTCAATTATCACAATCCCGGAGAACTAGACGATGATGTCGATGAAGTAGGACTGGAGCGTCGATATAGCGAGATACCCCCTCATTCCATCGAGGCTCTCTTCGAGGTCATAAGAAATGTAGAAAGTCTATTCCTTCCGGTGGGAATATTGCTTCACGCGTCGACGTTGAACAAAATCGCGTCATGCGCTCTCCTTCCATATCTAGAAGAGATTGAAGTTGGAGCGCTCAGCGCGTGGCCTATTCTTAGCATGATCAGATATAGGCGCACGCGCGCAGTGATGAGCGCTAGTTTGGGCGCCTCCCACGCCTCCGACGTTTTGTTGCCTGCTCCGGACGATAAGCCGCTGGCGGAATTCAAATACATTTATATCCTTATTCCCTTTCAAGGTTTAACGGTTGCTGAGGAAGATGCTCTTGCGGAAGAGATGGAGGATCTGGAATCGCTTGGAATTGTTTGTCGGATACTCGCTACTCCAATTCTCCCCTTACCGTCAATGCCAGCTGTCTCTCCTTTGCCTCCTATCTCTAATTAGTCACTGCATGAGTAGTTACAATTGTAATTCTGGTTCTCACCTGTCCGCTATTAGATACTTCTTCATGTTCCCATTCAACTGGGACGTTTACGATACCAATTTCGCTGTGGTCTATCTTACGGCTCGATTCAAAAATTTATGGATTACTTTGAAATAATGCCAAGTTGACATTTCCCAAGAGACACCATACCTTTATTATTGGACTCTCAGTTTCATCAACCATGAGGGACGGAGAAAATCTCGTAACGTGAGTCTAATTACCGGTATATTTCCCGTGTAGGGTACAGAGTTTCGACATCAGCGAGACTTGCGCGCGGAAAGCGCACGCCGCGCGTTTCAAGTATTGGAAGTGAATGTAGTTAACCTGTAGACAGTTGGAGAGCGTAGACATCCAGTTGCAAATTCTCATCATCTCCGATCTGCGAAGCAAGTATTAGCAACGACTGAATACCCATTTTTGCGAACCAAAAGAAAATGTGGAAACAACATCATCCAATAATACAGATCCAACAAATATACGGGATGCAAGAGAAGAACTCACATTAATACCGACAACTCCATTCTCATATACCATATATCCTGCATATGAGGCCTTGAACTGCCTCTCCAAAGTGACGCACGGTAAATGCGTTTCAACTATATCCAGAAAGTAAGGCTCGTCCATCGCCGAGATTGTGCTCGGAGGCATGAGCGTAACGTGCCCAAACGCACTCTCAGAAGTCGTAGAGCTGGAAGAAGGTGAGGGTGTGAGGTCAATCCCATTAGCGTTCAAGACGGCAGCGAGAGAGAAGTCGAGCATTTTCACAGAGTAAGAGACACCCGGCCGAGAGAAGAGCGGGTAGACGACATGCTGGCCATGGATATATCTAATTTCAAGATGAGAAGACTTCGTAATGTGTGATATAAGATCGACTCACCTCTGCCAATGCGTTGGAATACTCGACGGACGGAGCATACGTGTATTTGATGGTCCCCATTCGTCCCATAAAATATCCCGATGCACGCCCGTGCAAGATCTGCAGTACTTCATGAAGACCCGCTGGTGTACGAACAAGTCCATCGACATAACAGATTGGCTCCCCTCCGGGTCCATCAATCCACTATGTCGATACACAATGGTAAACGCATGCAAGCGATTTTCATCCTTCTCCATGAAAGCCACGCCGGGAAGTGGCCCCGCTTCTAGGGGTCCTGAGTGTGTGTCGATTCGTGCTACAGTTGTACCCATACTGATAGACGGAAGATGGAGGTTTGCGAGCAAGATGGCCCCGCTACCGGCGCCGGATCTTGGGAGCTGATAGAGCGAGATTAAGCCAGAGTCGAGAGGGTGAGCTGTGAGGAAGAATTTCGAGTCTAGTAAAGCGAAATCAAATGGTATGGCTCTGGGAAGGGAGGATTTGGGGGAATCCTGGTAGTTTGTGATTTAGTCGAAAATGAGATAAATATGAGCAACTGCCGCACCAATATGAGCTCCGACGTTGTCCAGTCCCACACAAGCACCCTTGAGTAGATAGGCTGCAATGCCACACTAAAGTAGAGCACCAATCGATCCCGCACAACTTCGACGCAAACGTTACGAACAAAACCACGACCATGAAGGTTGCATTGCAAAGGACTGTCACGAGCTCTCGGATGAATGGCATTCGTTGAGATTGTGCGTATGTGGAGGGTTAAAGTCTGGCCGATTCTAGAACTATGGTTAGTTGTATAGTAAGTGGTATTATTCACGGATCGTGCTTACTGCGCATCATCTTCTAAAAACACGATCAGATCCTGTGTGGGATCCATCGCGAGATCGCGCATCGAAACACCAGCTGAATAGATGGTCTGTTGTCCGTGAGTACGGTTGCGAGTAGGTAGCCATTTCAGCTCGAGACAATCGCCGTCTGTAGTGGCGAAGACTCCCCCGGTAAGCTCGTACGCCAAACAATTGTGCTTCGTTTCGTACTTCGTTGACTTCGTACACCCGAACTCGAACCACGCTCGACGACGCTCCAAGA